GAGAGGAACACAGAAAATACACAACCGTGACAAAATACACCAAAACGTGACCAAACAAAACCACAACCGTGACAGAACCTCCCCCTCAAGGACCGGATTCAAGACGGTCCATACCTGAATTTAAAGGAGGACCAAACATGAAACTGAGAGGGGTGGGAGGGGGGTGGGAATCTGGAACAGAGCGCGGGGCTCGACCCGGAGGCCATTCAAAGTCAGAGCATGGGGCTCGGGCGGGCGGCCCGGAGGCCGGTCAGAAACAGAGCCCGGGGGCTCGGGCGGGCGGCCCGGAGGCCGGTCAGAAACGGAGCCCGGGGGCTCGGGCGGGCGGCCCGGAGGCCGGTCAGAAACAGAGCCCGGGGGCTCGGGTGGGCGGCCCGGGGGCCGGTGGGAAACAGTGCACAGGGGTTCATGGAAAATCAGCTGCTTCTGCAGTCCAGTCAAAGGGAGTTCAGGGGAAGATAGCAACTGACATTGCTGCTGTGACACAGGAGGCTCTGGAGAAGATAGCAGCTTATGTACACAACCGTGACAAAATACACCAAAACGTGACCAAACAAAACCACAACCGTGACAAATCCACATTCAAATATAATGGGTTCTTGCCTGGCTTGCACTCCATCTCTCTACCAGGTTGACTGTGAATTGGTTCAGCACTATAATTCTGACCAATAAATCTACAAACAAAATGACAGTCATGGGTGAAACCCTTGTCAGAAGTATCACCTGACTCCACAGCTCCCCTCAGCTCTGCAGAGCTTGTTAGCCTATTTTTGCTCACTTTTTTGATTTGGTCCAATTTCATTGCTCTCTTTTGCAGGTTTGACAGATTGTAGAAGTTGGCTGACACCAAACCCAGCTAGACGGAGAATGAAAACTGCACTGACATTTATCAGTTTGTCAGAAATAAAATGGAAAATGTTGACTGTTGCTCTGCCTCTACTCGCTGTAAAATGGGTTATTATATACTAACAATAACATGTTGGTAACATCAACTTTGCATGTATAGCCAAACATGCAATTCTAGGAGCAGGTATTTCAACGAGTTACAATCTTGCTATGTCTATATTTTAGATCCTAAATTTAATGCTGAGTATCGTCAAGGAAAGAGGTTGATCTCTCTCCCTACTCCACATACAGTAGATGATGTGTGTGCCCTTTTACAATATGAAGTTGTGTGCTCCAGGGCACACTATTTCTCTTCATTTGTGTGCTTTGTCTAACCATCAATTTCTGTCTCACTCCCTTCTCGTTCTTGTCTCTGCTGAGACTCACCCTGAGGCTATTTTCCTCCCATCCTCTCTCTAAGAGAATAAGAAATTCCAGTGGCAAAAGCAATCAGTGAGTTTCACTTTTACCCAATTCCCAACTGAATTTGATGTCAAATTAAATGTGATCTTGTAGTATTCTACATATTCTGTTAAACTTTACAAATTATATAATAATAATAATACTAAATATAACCTGGGGTATGACATTTCTAACAAGCGACAGATGCAAAAAGGCAAAAAAACAACACATTTTTGAGATAGAAGAAGTGATCTTTAAAGCAGAATCAATACGTTACGTCCTACCTCTGCCTGCTGTAGCACCACTCACCTAGACGCTCCAGTGATTTATGTGTTGTTGTGTACGGACAGACAATTGCCTGCAGGCAAACTTCCTCCGGATGTCATGTTCAAAAATGGCTACTGTTTCTTTTTTGTCCACAGCGGGCAACTGTGTTCACTGACAATAAAATAAAAAGGAACTATAAATTGCTTACTTTGCATCAAACAACAGCATAGTTAGCCAGATATGGAATTAAAAATGGAAATGTTTTGGTTGACAGGGCAAAGACAAGTCTTTGAATGAACAACTTTGTTACAACAGCTCTGTAAATGCTGGATGTGTTAAGAAGTTTGCCATCAACTTTGGCCCCAAGTGGCCAAAAAGAGTCCAACTGTGGGAGGTTTAAAGATGCACAATGACTTTGCCACACCATGGGGATCAATATGGTATTTATTTTGAAAATTACCCGTTATTAATCACACAGGACGGTTAGTTACAATTACTAATTACCAGTGGCAGATATTATTTGACACCAACATTGATAGTCCTTTATGAATATCAAATTTTGCAGTGTTAAGTACCAGTTTTCAAATCATATAGTTTTCATTTCATACCAATCTGTTGCTCTGACTCATCTGTATTGTATGTGTGCACCTTTCATGCACATAGGCACTGAAGTTGCAATGAGTACTCTGGAGCTTGCCCTTAGTTCGGCATTCGATAGCAGTCTGAGAAAATGTCAAGCATGATTTCACTTGTAGCATACTAGTTTTCTTTTGATGTGGCCTCCAGGGGCCACAGAGCATGTGATTTCAAAGAAGACAGAGCCGAGAGATTTAAACAGAAAAAACAGAGATAGTTTATTTGAAATGTACAAAAGCTATATACACACTCATACAAACTCACACACACACACACACGCACACACACACACACACACTGAGCATAGTAAAAGTGAATGGAAGCATACACACAAACATTTAAAAGGCTATTTAGAAATTCAACAAACAAAGTAAAATGGATGAATTTGGAGGGCTTGTTCACGACTCCTGTCAGAAGCAGAATTTCATTATAAAAGTCAAAGTCCCCTCCTGGTCTCTCTGCAGTTCATCCAGAACCCATGGGATGCAGTGAGGGGAGGCGGCATGAATGTGTTAATTAGGGTTGGATCTCAACTGAGAACACACAGAGGTACTTGTATATTCCTTTAGAGAATGCTCTTCATCAGGCATGGGGGTTCATGTGCCCTGGTAGACTAATCCAGAGGCATATCCTTGTCCTTTCCAATTATTTACCCTTGTGAGAATGGACCATGGAGAGTTAATTCCTCTGATCCAGAGGGCGAAGACAGAAATCAGTTCAGGGTTCATCAGTGCCATCCCCAAGAGCTCAGACCATGATCAAAAAGGACTTAATATCTGTGGATGATAATTTTGTACAACCATGTGTTTAAACTAGGGCTGTCAAATGCTGCGTTTTGTAAAAAAGTCTCAAGTTTCTAATTTAAAGGTATAAATGCACATTGATTTTAATAAAATTGTAGAAAGCATATACTGCACTTAATGTCCAATGTAAGCTACATTTGTTAAGATTCTCATACACATTTCTTCCGCAATCTAGGTGTAATTGAATCCCAGCAATGAAAACCATGTTGTGCACAGGACAGGTTTCTACGATAGCACTTTCTTATGCTGGAAGATAAATAAGTGCATTTATAAACTGCAATAGCAGTCAATGTCTACATTTTTTTTTCATAATAGGCATATATATCTATTTTTATATGCATGGTTTGTGGTTGGGCTTGGACTATGTTCATCAATCTCAGTGCTTTGACCAGAATTTTGTTGGCCAATAAAATAAAATTATAAGATGTTGTTCTTTGAATTTGCCTGCGAACAAATGACATTTAAAATTGTGTCTGTTCTTCTGAATCACGTGATAGTTTTAAACCTGGTCACAAATAATTTGTTTTCATCGTGCACTGCAACTCTATTCACTTATCTCACATGCTTAATTGTGCACATGGACAGATTAGCAAAGTAGGCTTGCCTTGTGACTACTATAGCTTTGACAGCCCGAGTTCAAACATGACAAGTCTATATTATAATTTAAAGCAAGTACCATACAGCATAATCTATACACATTAAGGACTTCATGAGAAAATATTACCTGATATCTACATATCATGTCCATTTCCTGTTTTTTTATGTCATACTCAGATGCTCAACCTTGATGTCCTCAGCAAGGCACTATGTGAACTGCATTCAGTGCACCACTTTGTAAAGGGCTTTTACAACAGCAAATACTGAATGGCAGTTGTTTGTTGATGCATTTATATACCCTGGACTATCATATATTTGTAGCTAATAAGTATGGCTTTTTAACAAATGATGATAGAAAATGATCCTTAGCTATACTTACTATTCAATTCCATTTAATGTAACATATTATATTCTGAAGCAAATATTACAAGATAAGCATATTACTATGGACAATGAAAAAATGTATGAAATAACCAGTTTTACATTGTTCAATCAGTGCTTTCGTGTGTAGTCTATATATTCCTGATGTAAAAATGGTAAGCATGGGTGGACGATGAGGTCTTTGATTGCTCTCAGCTCATCATGTTGAGGAACTTGCTTTCTTCAGCCAAAGCTGTGAGCATGGAGTTCATGTCACCAATGGCCATGTTGCCAATTCCTGCCGGTACAGACGCAAGGGTGACAGAGTTCCGTGGTGTGGTCAGACGTGAGGAACTCTGGGAGAGGCTCTGCAGAAGGCCAGGACTCAAGGTGCCCGACATTAGGCTAGAGTGGTCTCCATCATCTAGCATGGTGTCAAAGTCGATCTGGGCATGTTCTGTACCACCAGATCTACCAGTTGAAGAATCCACTGTACTGCTGGAGACTTGGTTGACTCCTGGTGAAGCCATGTTGGGTGCTGCAGTGTTGTTGCTGGCAGGAGCCTGGCTGGCACAGGGGGACATGGGGGCATCATAGCTGACAGAAGTTGGGTCAAACATATGAACCTGACCTGTATAGGACACAGAAGAGTTCCGATTTTCAGAGTTGGTGTGTTGGGCCACTGACCCACTGGGCCTCTTTGGGCTTGCCTCTGAAGTGTCATGAGTTGCCTTGGGTATTCGACTTGGTTGCATTATGCTAGATCCTGTGTGTTGCCTGGCAATAGTCTTAGGGTCTGTGGGAGGCCGAGGTTGTAACATTCCCCTGACTCCATTGTGAATGTTGTGCTGCTGTTGCTGCTGCTGGGAAAGAACATTGTAATTTTGCTGGAGATCCACTTGGTTCATGTGAGAATACCCATCAGTCTGTGTCCTTGCTCTGTATGTTTGCAGTTCTGGATCTGTCGCACTGGTGCGGGTAGGTCTCATGCTGGTGCTCCCAGCTATAGAATTTGGGATTGCCTCTTGGCCATATCCTTGCTGAGGACTCATTTGATCACTAAAGTTCACATTGTTACATTGCCTCTGTTGTTGGTTCTGCTGGTGGTTAATGTTCATTAGCCTCTGGCTGTTGTGGTTGGCATACCCCTGCATAGACATATTCTGATTCATAGGTGCTACCTGCTGGTTGCTACCCAAGCCCAGACCTTGTGTCTGGAATGGTCCAAAATTGTGTCTCTGCTGAACAACAGCTAGATTCCCTCTGATAGGGTGTTGCTGTTGTCTGGTGAGCTTGGTTGTGGCATCCACAGTCCCTGAACTCACCTCATTCCACTGCACTGGCATGTTATTCTTGTTCAGGTTGTCTGATGGTGCTGTGAAAGGCAGATCCTGACCAGATGGACGCATGGTGGCATCCACCATAGCCATCCTCCTCTGTGCATAAAATGATGTTGGTGGGGCCATGCCTGTCTGGTAGCCCTGAGTCTGATTGTTTGAATGATAGTCCACTTGCCCCGAATTGTTACCTGAGTGGCCAGAATTTTGGGACCTGAGGTATTGCACCACATCATCTGGAAGCACCATATCCTCCTCCCCATTCTGCTCTCCCCCAGTCATCATTCCATCTACTGCCATGTTCTCCATGGCTACATTCTCAGAAATGCTAGGTGGTCTGGGGGCAAATGGGTAGCGTTGCAGGCTGCCATCAGAGCGAGTGTAGCCCTGCATGGCCAGTGCTTGGTGGCGTTCTGCAGCTGATGGACCATTATTGGGATTCATGCTGTTCATGCTGTTATAGCGCTGGACCCTTGGAAAGGAGAGATGGTCGAGTGTGGGACGGCGCACTGGGTCACTGGCACGGCGTGGAAGGTTGGCAGGCACCTCATGGGGCATCATGCTCTGGGCACCATATCCAATATCACTGCAGCGCCTGGGTGCGGTTCCAGAGGGTTGCTGATAGAATGGATGAGATGAGCCTTCCTGGGAGTCACTGTACAATGCCATGCGTGTCCTCAGGCTCATTCGATCCATATTGGGAAGAGGAGTGGGTGGAGCTCCACCAGTAGCAGCAGCGTACTTTGCCTTGAGCCGATAATGCTGAGCTGGTGTCAGACTCAGGAGGCTTGGGAGACCACTACACTGGCTGGCCTCACTTGAACGGCGAGACAGATCAGTGGAGATTGGGTCATAGGAGTCAGCTGAACTGATATTGTTATGGCGGTTAGCACCAAACTGGGAAGCCTCACTGGAGCGCCGGCTGGAATAGCAGGGTGAAATACCAGATGAGCGCCGACTCAATGTGTAAGCTGAGCTGATGGTACTGGTGGTGCTGTCACGCCTCTCATTCAACTGGTTCAGCAGTGTTATTTCACATGAAGGCTGGTCGCCCATGCGTTGGTTGTTGTGCAGACCACTTAAATTACTGATCACATTGGAGCTCTCCAGCAGGGGACCTGGCAAATACAAGAAACGTTATTATATAACGACACCAACTAATGTCATAGATACAATCATTTATTAATATGCGCGAACATTACTGGACAATCTTACTAAAACATGATGCCCTCTGGTCATCTTGTCCTCTAATTTCACAGTTAAGCACTTTGCACACACACTTACCGACGGCAGGTATGGGAGGCAGCTTCATACTGATGCGTTGACCCTGTAGTGGCTGTGGTGCAGAGTTGACCCAGGGGCAGGAGTCCCTCACTGTCTTCAGCCTTTCCTTCTTGATGTTTTCCAGCTTGATGGTGACCCCGCCACCATGACCCACGGCTTTCCTTAACTGAAGACCCATCCCACCCATCTGTCCCCCTGCAGATACAGTGGAGTCAACCATGGGGCACTCATCCTGTGCACTGAGGTCCCCGAAGCTGCCCCCGCTGTGCATGGCCATCTCTACCCCACTGTCGTTGTTGTTGGCGCTGCTGAGAGGCGATGGCTCACTGCTACACGATGAGTGGCCACCAGGACTGGACTGATATGTCTGGAGGGCGACAATGGAAAGGATTTGATGTAAGAGTAATGCTTGATATGATGTAATATTGATTATAGATGATAATGGTCAACTAAAAATATATTCTGTCACACCTTGGCAACACATTTAAGATTTTGTTATCTGCATATATGATGTGAAGATGGTAAAAAAGGTTTAAAAAATAAATCAATAAAATTAAATAGTAAAAGCTACATTCTCATGCACAGTTCAGAGAAGTCCCTCATGTGTACTTCAATGTAAAATAACTATCACAGTTAAAAATTCCAATTGTGCAGATATTTTTGTAATAACTAATGTAGGACTATAGTTTCATAATCTCATCACTTATAGATGAGCTTGATTTATTTACAACAAGAAAACAAGTGGATAATAGATGAGTTCTGTGAGCAACAATCCAGTGGAAGCAGTAATTCAGACTGGTCTAAAATGAACTAAAATCTTGATCACAGCTTGATGCTGGCACTATTTGTACAGTACACATGTTAAAACAGTCCCAGCCTTTGAATATTAATGTGACAGGGACTTTTATCATCTGCCGACCACAGAGGCTACAGCCAGTGATCTTGTGGATAGAAAAAAATGCAGTTTAATGGCAGCGCGTGGGTGCGTGTGTCTCCACACATGCATATATTGTGCGTCCCATATACAAAGGAGCTCTTATAAATGTGTGAAAATGGATTATCATGCAAAAATGTTGCTTTAAATCATGCAAGAGTGCAACACTGTCACATGAAACATGAGAACACACTCGCTCATTTCCCATGCTGAGTGGCAAGAAGACAGAGGGACAGTTTGAGAGCTCACCTCAGTGAAGTCTGTCCATTAGGAAGGTTATAAGGGAAAGAGAGAATCAATTTCAAGCAACAAACAGAGAGGTGAGTTTGGAAGGATGCAGGCAGTGCTGGTAATAAACACTTAACCTCAGAGTAATATTAGTAAAGTGGAAAACAGTGAGTAAATAAGTCTGTGCCTCTCTTTATGTTTAGAAACATAAAAGCCATGCAATTATACGATCATGTTATTTAAAAAGTGTCACTAATTTAATCAAGAGCTGAAGGTGGTTGGAATCAGACAAATCCCAAAGACAGAATTCAGTTATAATGATTTCCCTGCACACACTTTTTTCATGAAATCTAAAAGAGTTGTGTGGAGTGATTATTTTATTTTTATTCATGTGATCAGGACTCACCATGGAGGTCTCTGTCTTGATAGATTTGATCTGCAGGCAGTCTTCCACTCCTCTGGAAGTGCTGTTGGCCTCAATCTTGCCGTCCACCCCTCTTGCACCATGCTTGGAATTTGCCTCATTCTCGCCGTTGCCTTTGGGCGGCTGCTGTCTTGGAGGGACATCGCTGCGTTGTTTCTTGGTAACGTGGGCTTCCGGTCCGTGCACAGTTTTAACGTGCTTCCTGAGAGAGCTGGGGTCCGTGTAGCGTTTGGTACACCCCGGGATCTTGCACACATATGGTTTCTGCCAAGAGGGATTTAACACAATCCTTATTGTGCACGGAGGAAATCGAACTCAGACGAGTATGGAAAATATCATACCCTAAGACACGCCACAACATATGAAGGTCTGACGTTTCACATTGCTTCATGTCCTACGTGTGCTGAAGTTGTAATATGACTTATTTTAGTGGTTGCATTATGCAACGGCTAAAGCTTTCAAACAGCAAAGAGAACAAATATAAAATGCCAGAAATAAAAAAAACTATAGTAATGATAGCAATACAGTATGGTATGGTTAAGTAAAATTAGTCACAGACTTGAAAGTAGGGCACAATACTTTCTGTTGATTTAAAGATAATATGAGGTGTGGGTGTCAGACAATATACCTCGTTTGAGTGTGTACGGTTCTGGTGCTTGGCCCGGTCCGAGGCGTTGGAGAAGGCCTTGTTGCATCCTTCATGTTCACACACGTACGGCTTCTCTCCGGTGTGTGACCGTAGGTGGGTCTTGAGGTTCTCCAGGCGAGAGTAAGCTTTGGCGCAGCCCTCAAACTGCAGACAGACAAACCGACAGTGAGATTGACTGCCTGAGTGCGGTAATTTCGTTTTCAGCTGGTCAGAGAAAAGAGCTGGGCAGCAACAACAAAAAAGCTCTGTGTGTTTCAGTTTCCCAATGTAATCTACTCTTGGACTCTTGCCCACCTACTGTTGTGTGCCACACTAAAGCAAAGCACTGCTACACTTTGGTAAAAAGGGCTATTATGTGATATATCTAAACTAAGTGTGAGGTGCGGCAAAGCCATTTGTCTGGTGTGTTTTACTAAGACAAAGAAAAGACTGCATTTTGCCTTTGTATTCACTTTATTGTACAAGCTATAATTTGGTATTCCTTCTGAGCAGTTACTGTGAATGTAATTGGCTTTGAAATTAAAAGAGAATCAAATTAGACTTGCTCAGAGACGGGATATAAAAGTCAGAAGATTCCGGCTTAAAAGAGCAGACTAAAGAGGAGCCAGAGTGTTGTGAGAGGATGCACGTGGGATTTTTGCACAGAATATACAGCGTGGTCTTAATAAGGACCCTTGGCCCCCTGCTTGTCTGCAGATTTTAATTACACGCCCACGCTGTCAATCAGCTTTCTTAACTCTCTCCTTTACAAGTCATCTGTCTTAATGCATTCACAAGAGCTTGTGAATGAGCTTTGAAGCCAAGAAAACAGGCCCTCAATTTGATCCTCACACAGCAAATGAAGGCTCAAGTAAAATCCCTTTTATTTATTGACTAGGAAATAGTGTATGACTGGTTCTAAGCACAAAAAGAAAATCTCATGAAGTTTTTCTTTTACATCTTTTGTCTGAGGCAAAGAGATGGGCTGTATGATACAGACTAGACAGCCACTAATGTTGCTGAAGAACATTGAAGTTCCATTTCTTCTACCACTTAACTAACCATAAATATGTACCTGTGATTAGCTCTGAGAATTTAAAGGCTCACTGTGTAGAATTTAGTGACATCTAGAGTGAAGTTGCGTGTTGTAGGCGAATACCCCGTTACCTCACCCCACCCTTCCAAACATGAAAGAGTGGTAGCCTTCAGTTGTCTCAAAAAACTCAAAAGATGTTTGTCTGTCCAGTTTGGACTACTGTAAAAAACATGGTGGCCTCCGTGGAGAGGACCTGCTCCTGATGTAAATATGTATATTTATTTAAATAAAAAGGATCCATTCTGGGGTAATAAAAACAAAATTTGTGCAATTAGATGAAACACACAAAACATTACTAGGATTATTTTATATTCAATTTCCGCCATTAGATCCATTTCACACACACACTGAAACTTAAAATTTCGAAAATCCTGAATTACAAACTGGAGGCTTGGAGTTTGATAAACATTCTGGAAGGCTGGACAAAAGTCCCTGCTGGTTGCATAATGGATCCTTTGTTCCTGACCAAAGGTAAGAAGAGCTTGTTACATCACTTGTTGCAGGTCCCCAACTTTAAATGTGAGTCTGATAGCACATTGCTGGAATAGCCCTTTAAATACAGCAGTCAGACACACAGTGCGTCAGATGGTCCTGTGCTTGGTTAGTTAACCAGATAGTTACAAAGAGTGATCATCACAGAGTCTCATGGTGGCCTGTGGTTCTTACTGTGCATTTATGCGGCTTCTCCCCCGTGTGTCGCCTCATGTGGACGACCAGCATGTACTGAGCCTTGAAGGGCTTCTGCTCCCGTGAACACTCCTCCCAGCGGCACACAAACTCCTTCTTCTCGCCATGGATGTGGTCGTTGTTGATGTGCTGAGGAGAGAGCAAATCCAATTAAAGTCAAGTCAATTATCACAACGTAGCAGAACATGTGTAGGTGATACAGGGGAATACAGGTAAAAATATAATAATAATAGTGTCTCGACAGTGTGTGTGATTGTTTGTGTGTCAGTGACGTAACTCCTCGGTCATTTG